AAACATGCGAATGCATTAAGTGACGCTGTTCAAGCATTGAGGACATGGTTAACGTGAATTACCAATATAAGGTAATTTGGGTGAGCTTCACCTAAGAGCAGAAGATCGATTTGTGCGGCAATATTCGCATATTTTGGCAGCCATCGGTCATCGAATCACTCCTGTCCCTTTTTTAGATTTCTTTTTTTCTTGAATACATTTCTAGACTTCTTTGCTTTTTCTGATTTTTTTGTTCTGTTTAATGAATGTAACATTTTTAGTTTACATTACTTTCCGTAAATACGACAAGGAGGGTGGACTTCACAAAGGAAATATAATTACAATTGAGCCCGGTTTCTATGCTGAAGGCAAATGGGGTATACGAATCGAGAATTGCTATGAGGTTTGCACATATTTCAATTTTGATTTTTGCAGGTAAAGCCAGACCAGTTCCACTTTTTAATGTTAGGATCAGAGATGAAAAAACTGTATATATTACATCTGAGACCAAAGAGAGCAGTCTGTGTTTCATCCCTTAGCTGTAAACACAAGCAGAATGGTGCTTGCGCACCAGCATAAATTCTGGTGCCTTAATGCTTTTGATTTCGATTCACTTATAAATTTTTATGCGAATTATACTAGCACACTTCCTATTGGAAACAGATTTAGCACTCAGAGACCTGGTAATTATAGGACATTCAAGAAGCACAAAAATGGATGATAACTTTCATACATTTGGTACTTTTTTCTGCACCTACAAGGAATGCACGGGAGCAAGCACTAGTACCACCAGCTAATGCGGTACTGTACAAAGCAATTGCAAGAAAATGGCTGATTTCTCTTATGGCATGAAAATAGGCGCCCTTAGAAGCGACAGATGACCAAAGATCGAAGAATGCCAAACCATGCGCAGAAATGGCTGTCCTTTCGAAAAAGAAAAGCTTATTTCTTTAAGGTTTCATTTTTTTTCTGCTGTATTATCAGATCAGTATCATTTTTTTTTCAGATCGTACCAGCTAAGGTACGTTCGGGCGCCACAAATTTCCTAACGTTTTCCTCGCTTACTTATGTACCAATACAAAAAACATTGGTGGACAAAGCACTTCTCTGCCCAAAAGAGGTATGTCGTAATTGCGTTAACTATTCACAGCTGTGGAAAAAAAGCACTAGTGGATGTTCTTTTCCAATTTGTTTTCCTTTTTTTTTAGTTTTGTGAAAGAAATGTTGACGTTTTTCTAAGAATAAGAATGCTAAGATAGTCCAGGCAATCAGCTGGATATCCCAAATTAGCGTTTGGTACTGGGGCGCTCCCACACGTCGGTCGCAACTGTGCCAGGCTCTTCGACCATGGATGTTAGCTACAAACTTCCAGCTGCCACCCACTTTCTGTCCGGTATGCGCTGCCTCTGCGTTACGAGCTTTCAGCCAAAATACCCTTTCCATAAGTTTATTTTGCTCTCAAGCGGCTCCTTTATATTTGGTGGTTGCTTGTAAAAGCAAGGAAGTTAAGTTCAATCCTTCGATTCTACTATTTCAGTACTTTTACAGATTGCATGGTTCAACCGGTACCACGAGGCATGCCTGGAAAAAGTCGGTCCTTATCTGCAGGAAACTGGAAAAGAGAAGGAGTATAAGTGGCTTAAAAATGCTTGTGCTCCTATATAAAAGTGCTCTGACATCCTAGGCTTTATTTCTTGTCCGTTGAAATTCCCCTTCTGGTTTTGTTATGTAATGATCCTTGTTACTGTTTTACTTATAATCCTTGTTTAAACCCCCCTCCCTCGCTTTAGGGTTCGTTGTTTCACCTCAACACCCAAAATCATTCTGACTCACACCTTAACATTCCAAAAAGTCATACCGATACCCCTCCCAGCTTTTGTCTAATTGTAACGGTAGGAAATTATAGACAGTGGAAAGATGTTACAGGGGTGAATTGTCATTGCTAAGCCGATTGTAGCAACCAGGTTAATCCTGGAAGCGGAAATGGTGAAAGCGCGATAGATTACAGCATGAAAGAACAGTATATGAGGAAAGAACGTAACAGTGAGATAAGACGTTTCGGTCCACTAAGTCATATACATGCTAAGCTGCACCCAAGCGCTTCTGTTTTTATTTATTCAAAATGAAATGAAAGAATGGAGTCTTAATTACGTTTCGAATACTTATCCTTAACTTTAACTTCTTTGAATTAACTTTGTATTGTCTTTCTGCATCCCCGGTGTCCAATGATGTAATGTTATTGTCTTTACTATCGAATTTTTGCTTTGTCTAATTCGAATGTTTTTTTTTGGATAATAAGTGCCTCTGACGTCGAGAACACTCTGGTGCCATAGCTACATAACTGGTCAAATAAAAACGCACAATGGTTTCCTATCAGTTGGAATCACGAGATGATAGAAAACTGCACAAAAATATTGAAAAGTGTCTTTTTTTTTTTCATCTTACTGACCACTAGCCTGGTTTTTGTCTTTTCTAAAGTTGCCACCTGCATCAAGGAAGAACTAGACTACTTTTTAACAAACATCTTGGGAGTGATAAACTTACAAGCAAGCGCTACAAATCCATCCGGGATGGTCTGTCGTAGTATGTATATACAAAACATACCAGTACTAAAAAAAGGCCGGTATTCTACTGGGCATTTTTTGTTCTCAGTTTAGACAGACAAAAAAAAATTTCATAACTTTTCGTGAGTGATACTACTGCAAAATTTATACAAGGACGTAGTAATAATTTTGGTAAATACACTCCCCGACAATGTGTGGTGTGCTAGAAACCAGAAATCAATTATTAGACTTTAATTATCACTGAGAAAGTCGATCACTGACTTATCAAAAACAACAAACGACATTAAGTGAAAATTTTGAAAGATTGGTCGCTTTGAAAACAATAAGTGAATCAAATCAAATAAAATGAGTCAAATTGCGAAAAAGGCTTTTTCCGCGTTCATGAAAGTGAGGTTGGTGATAAACGGAGGTGAAAAAAATGGAGGTACATTCTAAATCCAATCGATTCCTGGAAAGACGATATCTGTGAAGTATTGGATTTTCATTTAAATAAAACTCAACAAAAACTTATTATTATTAGTGTACGGACAACAAGAAACCGCAAAAAAGCGGTATGCAGAGAGCAACAACAAATTGAAAGAACGGCGAAACAGCGAGAATAGGAACACACGACATCGTACGGGAGATCTCCAAGCGAGGATTATGACCGAGATTCTCACTCAGAAGCTACAGAAGTAGTCTCATGTATTCAGGCCTAGTGCATCTTTTAAAGCTCTTATAAATCACAATCTTTTCGGACCAAAACGCACTCGAATTCAGGTCCCATGTGATCTCAGATAATCCTCGATGGAATGCGCAAATTCAGGGCTATGTTGATAGACTGCTTCGCGAATGCTCTGGTGGCTGTACAGTCTTCGCAATGCCATATCATTGAATCTCAGTGCCTTCAAAAAATTCTATTACATCTAGCGTCTCTACCCAGAAAAGGAGTAATTTTTCGGGAAAAAGCCCCAGAATCGCCAAAAGGCTAGCCGCGTGTAAGCTGCTGATGCTTTGGTAACAACAAATCCCAGGAGGACTACCAGCAAGGGAATGCTACGATTAAACGAAGGTAGCTGATCAAAAGGTGAAAGTTGTAGTTTTTTAACAGAAGAAAAAATTACAAAAATAATTTTTTAACAAAAAAAAAGTTATTTTTAACAAAAATAAAAAAAAAAAACAAAGGAACTGGGTGCGCAGCTGTCGACTTGAAGGTCAAAGGTGGCATAACCAGTCCCTCTACTTTTCGTTCTTTCATACCGACGGAAAATGGTACTGACGCATGTTAAGAAGTAACATCCCCCATCAGTCTTTGATTGTAAGCAATCCTCGAAAGAGTAAGCCAAAAACAGCCCTGCCAGCATGTGTTTTAATCTGTTGGCGCGGTCTATCATTCAGGCCAATTGCAAGCGCATCCTGCTTGCCTAATAAATTTGTAGTGAGAATTTTAGGGTTTTCATTGGAATGAAACAACCAATCACTTACATATGCGAAATCGTACTCTGAGGCAGAAGTATTTTCAGTGAGAGTGCTGTTCAGCTCATCTTCCCGGGGAGCAGCCGTTGATGTAATGGAAGCCGGCGGCCTGCTGACGACATCCTGCTGCACCGGAATGAGAGTCTGTCGAACGAGGCACCAGTGGAAGTTGTACCTCTCTTCCAGTGCAATCTGATTTCGGCGAGGTCTAAAACCCCCAATATTTACTATAGATTTAAAGGTAAGGTAGGAAATGAGGAGAAGGAAAAAGAAGAGAAGGAGAACGAAGTGAAAAAAGTTCGGTGACAAATATCATTTTACTCTCATCGATAGTAAAACTCAATTCTCTGCTACAGCAATTGTTTTTGACTTACCTTGCCACCCAAACATCATATGAAAATTGGGGCTTCAGGTCGGGGCATTTAAACAAAATGGCCACTCGTCCCAGATCATCCGAATAGCCCATCATCACTTCGTCACAGCTAATCAGCCCATTTGGAAAATATATGCGCGTTTTGACCTAAAATGAGCGAAAAATGATTTGATCGCAACAAGAAGCAACAAGTAAACGAAGGAACAAGTAAACGGGGGAAAGAGGTAAACAAAGAGCATTGCAATGTGAAAAGAGTGAACTGGCGTGAATATAAATCCTTAAATAGTCACTTACGCGTACGTAACAACGTGCTGTTACGTAAGTCGGCAGCCTGGGCTCAATTTTCTCGCGATAAACCACGACGCCATTTCGCATCTCCATCTCTACCCATTCGCCAACTTTGAGATATTGCGTCGGTAAGTGTCTTTTATCTTGGAAAATAATTTCCTTTCTCTGTTCGGTTTTCAGCGGCCATACGTGTATGGTGTCGCCCAGAGTTCGAGTGATAACGCCCCTCTCAACGGTGACCGGACTTCGTTGCTGCATCGCCATCCCTGCAAAAAATGTGGTTTTTTCCAATTAGCAACGTAGGCTGGGAACATCCACTGAAAATTTCATTCTCCCAGCTTCTCCGGCTTCAGAGCTTAATAACAATAGTTATAATTGCAAAACAGTACAAATTCCCAGCCAAAAGTTTAGTGGTTTTCCACATTTGTTATCTGTGAGAGACGAAGGGGCCCACAAAATTAGCCTTAGCAGTAATAATACAACGTTTTATGCACGTCTTAGATATGCCACCTCGTACCGATTCAGCCCTTGATTTTCAAATTCCTTCGGCCCGCAGGGCCCAAACGGCCCGTAGGGTCTTTTCTTTAGCGATTTTCCAGCCAAAAACTTTCACGGGGCCATACGTGAGTGCCCCACACACACCTGGGCGCTGAATTTGAAATTTTTAAGTTGTACGTTGCATGCACTCGTCGTATAAAACTATTCGCCTCGGCGATAACTGGTGGCGCTGCGCATTATTTAGTGAGTGGTATCTGCGAGAAAGTAAACGAACACTCAGCTGGTCCCATCAAAGATGGTGCATTGTACGTCAAACAAGCGACAAGTACTAACTGGAAGTGTACAGCCTATGATCAAGAACAGGCCTGTGGTAAGTGCACCTCTGATGGAGGATATGCAATGTAATCGTGTGGCTATGCAAAGAAAGGAGAAATTTTGTAAAACAAGCAAAATGCGCGAGACTGTGGTAGCCACAAAGTCTCCCGAAATTTCAGCTTTCTAGCTTTTCCGGTTCTCGAGATGAAAGTGGGTGACGAAAAAGTGCGAACACACAGACACGCAGCAGTCTCTACCTAAGGCAATCTGGTCCGTGAAGACTCCAGGTACACCAACCCGAATCTCAAACGCTCTACGCAGACCAAACCAAACCACCAATAAAAAGCACAACTACGTCCAGTAATAATAGCATCCAAAACTGGCAATTATTAAAATTCGAATAACGCAATACCCTCGTTTCTCTGCTAACCAGACAACACGGCTGTCATGCGTGCCGCTTGCTCAGACGCTTGGGTAACGTTCCCCGAGCGCTGGGTGACGCTCCCCGCGCGCTAAGTAACCATTTAGATCTCCCAAATAAGTAACGTGCGGTTCGGTACTGAAAGATAGGAAGGGGGCTACAATGTGGTGCTGTTTGAGACGCAAGGATTCGTGGCAATAGAGGAGCTGGGGTAGCTAAGTACTGAAGCTCGGCTCGGCCACGCAAAATGCACTCGTTTGTGAGGAGATTCAGAATGAATAAATGCAGATTTAGACCAAAACAAGTGCTGTTAACTGCTCTCCAGTGCTGTTTATTAAACCTCATGCAGTGGTACTCCAGAATTTAGCAGTTGATAATAACGCTAACGATTATTCTTCAAACCCAGGCTGAAACGCACCAGACGAGCCGGTGCGATCATTCGTTTTTGCACCAGACTTGAAATAATTAGGTTAACTGCATGAGTGGTTGTTTTTCTTTACACCTAC